TCTATTCTATTCTATTCTATTCTATTCTATTCTATTCTATTCTATTCCTATCCCTATCCTATCCTATTCCTATTCTATTCCTATTCCTGTCCCTATCCCTATCCCTATCCTATCCTATCCTATCCTATCCTATCCTATCCCTATGCTATGCTATGCTATGTTATGCTATGCTATGCTATGCTATGCCATGCCATTCTTATTCTACAGTGCCATTGAAAAAAGAGACTTATAGCCATTTTTCACACTTCTGAGCATTCCCATGATCAAAATTTGGAGGCTTGGCAATGGCTCGTATTTATGACCCAGGGTCATATTCTCCAAAAAGCACAATCATTGGGGAAGCCAGACTCCCTTAACAACTATATCACTAACTTAACAAGAAAGGTCATAAAATGGGGGCAAAACTCACTTGACTATTGCCTTAGCTTTGCTTAGTGACACAAATGTTCACCTCAATTATGGCTGTAAGTCAAGGACCACCTGTATATTATAATTGGTTAACGTTATGTGTAAACAGTAGCCTAACACATACCTCTGCAACGGGCTACATTGCTTGGCTTTCCGCTAGGATGGTGCATTGGAGTCCATTTGCCATCTGGCTGGCAGACCCGGCTGGGTGTGGGATATGGATAAGTGCCAGCTGGGCAGACAAAGGTCAGGATGCTTCCTGGATAATAACCATTGGAGAGAGAGATGTCCCCGCCTTGGATAGATGCTCTTGGACAGGATGGTGTTCCATCATGGCCCAAACTTTGGGTGGCAATAGCTGCAAGGCAAAAGAAAGGGATGAGACTGGCTTTGGAGATGAAATATCAACCCTTTTTATGAGATCGTCAAGGGAGGGAGGGAGGAAGAAGGAAGTCTGTAAAATAGGTCTACGAACTCAAGGCCTGGAGGCCGGATCCGGCCCGTGGAAACAGCAAAGGACTGGCCTGGGATGCCTCTGCCAGTGAAAACGGACCCTGAGAGGCCCCCTTCCGGCTCCATTTTCGCTGACAGAGGGCTAGTAAAACAAACCAGAAACTAAACAAAAGGAGAAGTGTTTCCCCTTTTGCATTTGAGCATGCAAGAAGGCGCAGGAAAGAGGAAAGGAAAAGAAGAGAAGATAGCAAGAAAGGAAAAATATGGAACGAGGGGGAAGGAAGAAGAAAGGAGAGAGAAGATGGAAGGGAAAAGAAGAAAAGGAAGGAGAGAGGGAGGGAGGGAGGGAGGGAAGGAAGGAAGGAAGGAAGGGAAGGAAGATTAAGAGAGTGAGGAAGGGTGTGAGGGAAGACCTGCCTTAGCACTTGGCCACCACAGGTGCCCCCCACCGACATGAGTGATGTCGGCCATGCCCACCCTGGCCACGCCCATCCCAGCCCCTTGAGGTCAAACACAATCCTGATGAGGCTCTCATTGAAGTCGAGTTTGACACCTCTGCTCTAAAGTAAGCCTTCTGCTCTGAGAGATCCTTATTACAGTCTTATTAAACAAATGGACTCTTAGGCAAACATTGGGGAGGTGGGGGAGGGAAGAAGTGCAGAGGTTTAGCAGAATAACAGAGTTGGAAGGGACCTTGGAGGTCATCTAGTCCAACTGCCGGCTCGAGAAGAAGAGTCTATACCCTTTCAGTCTCTTCTTAAAAGCTTCCAGTGATGAAGCACCTACAACGTCTGAAGGCAAAACGTTCCACTGGTTTATTGTTCTCATTGTGAGGAAATTTCTCCTCAGTTCTAGGTTGGTTCTCTCCTTGGTTAGTTTCCATCCGTTGTTTCTTGTTCTGCCTTCGGGTGCTTTGGAGAATAAGCAGAGGTGGATATTCAGCAGGTTCTGACCAGTTCTGGAGAACCGGTAGTGGAAATTTTGAGGAGTTCGGAGAACCGGCAAATCCCACCTCTGACTGGCTTTGCCCCCCATCTATTCTCTGCCTCCCATTGAGTCCCAGCTGATCGGCTGGGTCTTCTTTTGTTGCCCTGCACAGGAGAACGGAGCTGGAAAGCAGGTTAGTGGGGTGGGGAGGGAAGGGGGATTTTACAGCATCCTTCCTCTGCCACGCTCACCAAGCCACGCCCACAGAACCAGTAGTAAAAGAAATTTGAATCCTACCAATGAGAATAGCTTGACTCCTTCTTCTTTGCGGCAACACTGCTCATATTGGAACACTGCTACTTGACATGATAGCATGTCTTTCTTTTCAGTAAATTAGACACACCCAATTCGGGCAACCATTCTTCATATGTTTAATAATCTGCTTGCTTTGGGATATAGTATAGCTTGACTCATTGCTGCTCCATGACAGGCAGAAAAACAACTTCATCAATCCCTGCCTTCCAAATGGGCATTTCAACATTTTAAAAAACCCCAAACCACAAACAATTTGATTTGAATCTTAAATTTGCAGATGGGTGCAAAGTGTCTTCCCCTTCCATTTTTCTAGCTTCCATATTGTGGCTGCTTCACAATACTATTTCCTGCCTTCCCTGAAATAGGCAGATCTGCAAGAATTAGAATTAGGATGTGGACGAAACAATAAAGAATGATTGGAAATGGATAGGCAGTCAGGGAAACGAGACCGAAAGTAGAAATTGTGGAATGATGAACTCTGGGTAAAAATAAATATATATATATAAAGTTGCTCTGGAAGGAAAAACTTTTGCAAATGGAGATAACAATACAACAGTTATGCAATGCTATATTTGTATCCTGGTATTTGTCCAAAGCACATACTTTTATCCTCATAACAAAATTGTGGCATAGGTCTGGCGCTGGCTCAGCCGTTCCCACTTGTCCTCCTCCCTGCTAGTCTCTTCCCCCCCACAATTGTTTCCCAGTCCGTGAGACAGATAGCTTAAAGCAGTGTTTGTGGTCTAGAACCTAGAACAGTTGCAGGAACTGGATATGTCTAGTTTAATGAAAAGAAGGACTAGGGCAGACGTGATAGCAGTCTTCCAATATCTCAGGGCCTGCCACAAAGAAGAGGGAGTCAAGCTATTCTCCAAAGTACCAGAAGGCAGCATAGGAAGCAATGGGTGGAAACTAATCAAGGAGAGAAGCAACTTAGAACTAAGGAGGAATTTCCTGACAGAACAATTAATCAGCTGAAAAATTTGCCTCCAGAAGTTGTGAATGCTCCAACACAGGAAGTTTTTAAGAGATTGGACAACTGCTACCAACAATTGCAAACAAAAACACTTGCTACCCACCTGCCTTCCATTGAGGACCTGCATACAGCACGAGTCAAAAAGAGGGCTGTGAAAATACTTACAGACCCCTCACATCCTGGACATAACGTGTTTCAACTTCTACCCTCAAAGCGATACTATAGGGCACTGGACACCAGAACAACTAGACGCAAGGACAGTTTTTCCCTGAATGCTAAACAACTAACTCCCACAATATTGTCAAACTACTTAGTATTACTATTCTTCTTCTCATCCTATTACCTATCTCTTCCCACTTATTACTATAACCATTACTATAACCATCTTTACAATTTATATTATTTTATTTGTTTCCTAGTATGATTTGATTGCTTATTAATAACCTATGACTGTCATTAAGTGTTGTATCTTATGATTCTTGATGAATGTATTGTATTTTTTCTTATGTAGACTGAGAGCATATGCACCACAGACAAATTCCTTGTGTGTCCAATCACACTTGGCCAACAAAGAATTCCATTCCATTCTATTCTATTCCATTCCGTTCCGTTCCGTTCTGTTCTATTCTTATTCCTATTCTATTCTTTCTAATTTTAATTCTAATTCAACCTCTGGGCCACCCGGAAGACTCTCTCTGGGGTCACCAAAATCAACATTATTTGCCTGCATATGTTGAAAAATAATGCAATCTTAAACTCCCATCAAACTATCACAAGAAACAACATGGCATCAAATGCATCAATGTTAATTTTTAACTCCCACAGAGCAGTCTTGGAAGCCTAATATAAGAAAAAATCCCATATGAGCATATAGACTGTGATCCAGTGGGCAGGGCAGGGGGCCACTGAAACTACAGCTCACATCCTACTACTATATACTGTACCTTTCTATAAGGACTCACGGAACCATCTCATAGCACCTCACTTGACAAGATATCCAGAAAACACCAATCTTTTTTTTTTATCTACAGTTGTTATCTGATCAACCTGGGTGTAGTCTCTTTGAATCTTGCTAGATTTTGCAAAATTAGGCCGGCTGTCCATTGACAACCTACTATTAATTGCTAAATAGTATCTTGCCTTTTTAGTTCATTTTATGTTATGTCTTGATGAATATATTTCATTTTTTTCTTTATGTACACTGAAAGCACATGCACCAAGAAAAATTCCTTGTGTGTCAAATCACACTTAGCCAATAAAGAATTCAATTCAGTTCAGTTCAGTTCAGTTCAGTTCTGTTCTGTTCTGTTCTGTTCTATTCTATTCTATTCTATTCTGTTTTAATGTTTCTTATTTGTAATGCTGGTCTGTGACTGTAATAAAAAAATAAATTTTAAAAATATTTTTAACCAGGTCAATATTGATGAATAACTCATGTCAACAAAAGCTTTTGTGGGGTCCTCCATAATTTTTAAAAGTGGGAAGGGAACCTGAGGTGGGGGTGTGGAGTTTAAGAAACCTTGGCTTAAAGCATTTTCTGCTCTACTGTACATCTAAGTAGCACTTCCCACCCTCTACCCCCATATCCTGAGCTTGTGCAAGGGCAGTCTCCGAGTATAAAATCTGCTAGATTTTGTCCCCCAATACTTTGGGAGGGAGGTCGGAGCTTGGGAAGAGAGTTGCTGGCAAGAGGGGATAAAAACTTCAGGGAGGTTTCTGCCAAGTAAGAAAAGGCTCACAGAACTTCTGGAGAACAAATGGGAGGCTGAAGATGGCACTGGGAAAAGCAGAACTGATGACGTCCAAGAATAGACTGGACAACCATTTATTTGGAATGGTGTAAGGTCTCCTGCTTTACTAAAAGACCTCCAAGGTCCCTTCCAGCCCTAGGATTCTATGATTTTATGACTGCAGTGGAAAGAAGAGCTGGCAAATAGACTGGTTCTTCGTAATCCCTCTCTGGATAAGGAAAAGACTAGAGATCACCCATCAGTGCTCCACACAGCTGCTCCTTGCAAGGAGACTACAAGACAGCATCTCCAGCAGGAGATTTGCTGATCAGTACTGAAATGACCAGGTTTTTAAGGATTTCTTTAAAGAGAAGAAATGGGATATGAGAAGAAGTGATCGTTTGTTGTATTCTAAGAGAATGTGATGTACTTGTAATGAAGGGAGAAGTTGCTTTTCTTTTACTTTACCATATTTCTATTTTTCCCTTTTCTCTCTGATTTTCTTCCTACTTTTTCTGCATCTTCTATTTTTTCTTTCTATGCTTTGACTGTTTTTAGTTTATATTTATTCTTTGTTGTTATAACTGTATAGTTTTTTTTTTAAAATAAAGTTACTATTAAAAAAGCAAGCCCCAAGGCAGTGCAGCACAAACCTGTTTTTTTTATATATAATTTGTTTATGATGTCTCTGCCTCATCTCCAGCTTGTAGCTGAAGCTATTTAAACTTATCTTTTTTAGCGTTTGCAATGATCCAGTATCATTTCCCCTCTTACCAGCCTAGTTTCTCCCTTGGATACAATCTTGGCATGCTTCATCAATGATGATTCAAATCGATCAAGTGAACTACACGGGTCAGGTTCCCACAACACACTGGGTGAAAACATGGCTTATTTTGTGTTTCAGTTTGTTGTGTGCAAGCTCAGCTTAGATCTCCTGTGGGGAAGAGGTCCCATCAAATCCCTTTTTTGCTGGTTTATTTCCCTTTATGGGACTTACGACCACTGCTCAGCACAAAATAACAGGTTTTTAGAGATAATTTCAAAGCTTGTGTGGGTTGGAAGAATTTAAATTTCTGAGCATTCCAAAGAGCAGGCATGTTTCCTATGTCCCATCGTATTAGATTGCTTAATGGATCAGACAGAGGGACGCGATGGCTCAGTGGCTAAAACGCTGAGCTTGTCAATCAGAAAGGTCGCAGTTCGAACCCCTAGCACCATGTAACGGAGTGAGCTCCCATACCTTGTCCCAGCTTCTGCCAACTTAGCAGTTCGAAAGCATGTAAAAAATGCAAGTAGAAAAATAGGGACCATTTTGGTGGGAAGGTAACAGCGATCCATGCGCCTTTGGCATTTAATCATGCCGGTCACATGACCACGGAGACGTCTTCGGACAGTGCTGGCTCTTCGGCTTTGTAACGGAGATGAGCACCACCCCCTAAAGCCAGAAATGACTAGCACGTATGTGTGAGGGAAACCTTTACCTTTAATGGATGAGACACAATCTCTGCCTATTGTGTTGGATTATACACGGTGGACAAAAATGAGAGGACAAAGCTGTTCCCAGGAAGATAACCAGGTCACTTATGGTTTCATAAGTGATAACGAGCATCCTGAATTGCATTCAGCAGCTAAATGATAACCAATGCAGCTGTAGTGGAAGCATTACATGGGCATACCAAGAGTCACTTCTAACTGCTCATGCTTCTGTGGATCATCAGTATACTAAAGATGCCTGACCTCCTGACCTCACCCAAAGCCCCGAGGCAACCCACAAATCATAGGCTCAGGCTGGACCTTTTTCCACCGGTCAACACTAAATGGAAGTAAGACAAACACAGCAACACATTAAGTCCAGAAGAATGTCATGACCGATACACTGACTGAGAGTTCAAGAAGTCAGTTTTGCCCCCATTATATGACCTTTTCTTGCCTCAGCCATTAAGTGGATCACAGCAGTTGTTAAGTTAATCACCCGGTTGTGAAGTGAATCTGGCTCCCACCAGCACTTGACTTTGCCGGTTAGAAAGTCGCAAAAGGGGATCCCATGACCCCAGGGACACTGGCACCGTCATAAATATAGGCCAGTTGCCAAGCCTCTGAAAATTTCGATCGCGGGGATGCTGCAAGGGTCATAAGTCACTTCTCTTAGAGCTGTTGTAACTTCGGTCAATAAATTAATGGTTGTAAGTCAAGGACTACCTGTAGAATTCCCATTCCCGTTCTACTTGCAGTAACTCTCACTAAAATGGTGGGATCTACCCAGTGGTGGGATTCAAAAATATTTACTACCGGTTCTGTGGGTGTGGATTGGTGGGTCCCATGGCTTGGTGGGTGTGGCATGGCTTGGTGGGCGTGGCTTGGTGGGCATGGCAGGGGAAGGATACTTAAAATCTCCATTCCCTCCCCACCCCACTAACCTGCTTTCCAGCTCCGTTATCCTGTGCAGGGCAACACAAGAAAACCCAACCAATCAGCTGGAACTCGGGAGGCGGATAATAGATGGGGGTGGGGCCAGTCAGAGGCGGTATTTGCCGGTTCTCTGAACTACTCAAAATTTCCGCTACCATTTCTCCAGATCTGGTCAGAACCTGCTGAATACCCACCTCTGGATCTACCAGAGAACAGGCTTGGGCACATAGAGGTTCTAAAGGTGGAAAGAACTTAATGGGAATTCTGCACAGGATTAGAATCCCAAACCAGGGAGAAGAAGCTAAAGACTGACGGAGGAGGGAGGTGTCCGTAAGAACAGAATAACAGAGTTGGAATGGACTGTCAGGAAATCTCTCCTTAGGTCTAAGTTGCTTCTCTCTTTGGTTAGTTTACATCCATTGGAAACCAATCAGAGCTGAGGAAGCGAAACATCTTCAAAGAAAAACCAGAATGTCCAGTTGCCTCTTGAAAAAAAACATCTTTGGGATTTCCACCCATTGCATCTTGTCCTGCCCTCAGGTGCTTTGGAGAATAACTTGACCCCCTCTTCTTTGTAGCAGGCCCCCCGAGATACTGGAACACTGCTCTCAAACCTCCCCTGATTCTTCTTTTCATTAAACTAGGAAATGCCCAAGTCCAGCAACTGTTTTTCATGTGTTTTAGTCTCCAGTCCCCTAATCATCTGGGTTGCTCTTCCCTGCACTCTTTCTGGAGTCTCAACATCTTCTTTATACCGTGTCGATCAAAATTGAATGCAGTATTCCAAGTTTCTTTATATGTTTTAGCCTCCAGAGAAAATTCAGCATCCCACAATCAAATGGCAAATTGCAATTATTGAAAAGTGGGAGGGGGGGAGAGAGAGAGAGAGAGAGA